TCTAAAAGGTTGTAGAGCTGTTTCTAATAACAAATAAAAGGAAATGTTTGCTGTTTTTTTCTTCTTTTTTGCTTCTTTTACTTAACATTTTTAATGTTTTATTGCTTGGAGGATTCGAGACGGCTCACGTATTTCTAATTCATAGGAAACACGGGGTTCAGGGATATCTGGTAGTGGCATTTCATGTAAAAGAAAAGCAACTGTGGAAGCATGTGTTCAATCCAGAATTTCTCATTTCGCTGGACAACTTCTATATGGGTGCCGTCTGAGTTCCACAGTGCAGACCGCAGTAGCTCCTTTTTCTGTATATTCAGTTGTCCCTCAATATGGTGAAAAAACAATTCTGTCGCTTTTCGAGGCACAGCTTTGAGTCTGCTCCAGAATTAAGCCTGAAATCCTTGCTTGTTTTCGACAATTCAAGCAGTCTATTTTCGCTGTCCGGGCACTTCACTTCAATGAGTCTCTAATTAAGCCGTCGGGAAAAGCCGCAAGATATCTCCGTTTTGTGTCCACAAAGAAACCGCCTCTCTCCACGATGTTGTTTGTCTTCTGCACGTACCTCCGAATTCCTTTGAGCTCATATTCTTGACAACGCTCAATAACAGGAGTCAGTAAATGTGACGCTTAAAGAAGGGGATGGACCAGTTTGCCGCAGAGCGTCATTGGTAAGCGCTTGCAAACATTCCCTAACATGGACGCTGTCAGGCGAACTCTTCTTTCGAAAACCCACCTTACATTCACAAACTGCCCGACCGTTGCTCCCTTGAGCTCATGTTGTTGAGAGCCGGTGACTTGAATCATGGCAAGTTTTCTTCTGACTTTTGCTTTACTATTTTCTTCAGGCATATCTGGTTGAAGCTGTTCGGCATTAGGTTCCTAACGTCGTTCCCCATACGGCGTGTTAAGCTTGAATTTTCATCGAAAAGTTGAGCGTGACGTTTTGGATGATGCGGTGACCAGACGTTCTCTCTTAATTTTTCGAAGGTACCGTTTTAAGTAAGGGTAGCTAAAAGAGGACGCTATCCCACCGTTGTACGAGATTGCTGCTCCCTCACACCGTCTTTGATACGATCCTCTTTGCTCGTGGTTTACGCTTTTACCGCCAGAAACTTTTGAGACTACAGACATGTAGTTTTCCGACATATTACAGGTAGAGTTCTCAGTAAGCGAAGAGTTTTTTTTGCGAGATTATTCGCAGTCCTCATCAGGTCTGTTTATAGCTTGTATGGTAAATGTTCGAGTGTGGTTGATGCTTGCTGTTGATGTTGTTGACAGTAGTGAGGGGAGCAGTTGTCATGCTTACCAAATACATGTCCTGGTCCATTTCGTAGATTGATGGCGAGCTCTTGGGTTCTCTGCTTGAGCGCATGGGATGCAGAGATAGCTCCTTTTGCCGCAGCTGTCAGTATTCTAATTTTGACATTTGTCAAATGCTTGGCGTGACTTCCTCCTCAGCTCCTGATGCCGCAGAGTGACGTGGTGCACTTCTTAATGACATGTTCAACGCAACCCTTAGCAAAAAGAGGCCGTACTTCAAACGAAGTTGAAATATATTTAGTACGAATATTCATTTTGTATTTATTCTGTATTATTTTGGCCGCATTCGAAATACGCGCGTAAGGTATTCAAAATACATTATGAATATGAATCAAAAAATATTTTAGATATACCAAAAATATTATCCCTTCACAATCAAGATGCCATTTGTGCATCTTGATTGTGACACAATTTTTTTTCTATTTTCGGTTTTGTCAGCAAATGGTGTCCCTGTGGTATTTAAAGGCACTACTAAATACATCTCACAAAGCTACATTAGAAACGAACACAAACACCATGACGCACTGGACAGCTCATTCACAGTCTCGTTGACTGCTTTAGAGCCTTATATAGCCTACATATTGAAGGTAATCATTTTTTCGGTGACCACCTCTGCGCTTATTAAGGTTCCAAGTATTCGATCTTCTCCTCGGGAGTCTTTCAAAAGGGAAACAGTGTTTTGAAGTTCGTGGACGATATCTCTTACAAAAAGGCATTGGTACAAATAATAACAATTCGGCGCAGTCCCTTAAACAATATTTTTTTATTTATTTATTTATTTTCAATACTACTAATCCCATTCGGGATTATTGTAGGGTGGTACATCATACTGAAATATATATATTTTAATACACATTTGAAGATAATGGTATGCAAGCCTATGTCGACAGGTGCGCTTCCAAATTCCTAAGAAACTGCTCTACACTAGTGGAATGCACAATGTTTCGCGGCAAGTGATTCCATTCGTTGATAGCGCGGGGGAAGAAGGAATATTTGAAGCAATTATTGTGGGTTGGAAGTTCTTCGTAAAGCTTACCATGGTTATATCTTGTTAGCCGTTTACTAGTAGGAGTTAGATAATTTTCCGTGGGGATGTTGAAGTTGCTGTTAGCTAATTCATATAAAAATTTAAGCCTTGCAATTTTCGCCCTTTTTTCTAGTGACAACAGTTTCAATTGCTTACATAACTCGGAGGGGGAATCATGCCAACTATATTTGTTAGGTATAAACCTTGCAGCCATTCTTTGTATTCTTTCTAACTTACTAACACCAGAGGCCGTGTATGGGAACCAGACGACGTTGGCGTACTCAAGCATAGGGCGGACTAGCGTCTTGTAGGCTAATAATTTCGTCTCAGTCGATCCACTTTTTAAGGTTCTTTTTAGAAAATTAAGTTTGTTTAGCGCTTTTTGAGTTACAGAGTCTATGTGTAAGTCCCAACGGAGGTCATGGCTTATATGTAGGCCGAGGTACTTGTACTGTGTGACTTTCTCCAGGGGTTTATTGTTGATGTGGTAGGAAAACGATTTAGGTTGCTTTTTGTTAGTTATGGTCATAGATACAGTTTTATCTAAATTTAACAACATCTGCCAGTCATGACACCATTGTACAATATGTTGGAGTGCATTGTTAAGGTTGATTTGATCCTGTTCATTGTTGATTTGTGAGTACAGTATACAATCGTCAGCAAAAAGATGGATTTTTACATTAACGTTTTGAACTATGTCATTTATGTAAATAAGAAACAGGAAAGGTGCCAGTACCGATCCCTGTGGAACACCAGATGAAACTTTTCCCTTTGACGATGAATGAGCGTGAATTGTCACAAACTGATAGCGATCAGAAAGGTAGTTTCTTATCCAATTAAGTATTTTGCCTGCTCCAAGAATAGTTTCTAGATTAAATAGTAGTTTTGTGTGGGATACTCTGTCGAATGCTTTCGATAGATCTATGAATATAACGTCAACCTGACCCCTGTTGTTAATTACGGTAGAAAAATCATGAATGCTTTCGGTCAGCTGAGTAACAGTCGATAACTGACGCCTGAAGCCGTGCTGGAATGGGGTTATTATATTATTGTTCTCGACGAAGGTTGAAATGTGTTTTAGTATAATGTGCTCGAGTATTTTGGAGCAAGTTGAAGTGAGAGATAAAGGCCTGTAATTAGTAAACTCCTTTTTGTTTCCAGATTTATATATGGGGATTACTTTAGCCAATTTCCAGTCCTCAGGAATTTCCCCTGTGTTGAGGGAGTGTCTAAAGATGAGTACGAGATACTTTGCTATCCATTCCGCGTACCTTTTTAAAAATTCATTGGGTAGATTGTCAGGGCCAGCACTCTTTTTACTATTGAGGTTAAGTAAGAGCTGCAAGACACCTTGTTCGGTAACTACTACATCGTCCAATGTGGGCAGAGCTGAACAAGAGACAAAAGAAGGTATATTATCATTATCCATAGTAAATGCAGAAAGAAAGTACTTGATGAACATCTTCGCTAGATTGGTTTTATCATTTGACAGTGATTCTAGGTGTGACTTAGTTTTAGGGTTAACGTGACTCCAGAATTTACGAGGTGACGACTTGATAAACGACTGAAGTGTCACATTGAAAAATGAATGCTTAGCTGAACTAACTTTGAGGCCAAGTTCTGTATTCAGCTGTGCCAACTTATCTTTATTAAGAGGTGTTTTAGTTTTCTTTGCACATTTGCGCAGCCTGTTTATTTTACGTTTCACGTGAATAATTTCCCGCGTTATCCAAGGGTTTTTTCTGTCAATTCTTTTCGTCTTAGTTGGGATAAAGTTTGAAATGCAGAACTGAATGGCTACTTTAAATTCGTTCCAAAGGGTATCGGTAGTGGTAAGAGCGTTGGAGAAGAGTAATTGGAAGGTATCAAAATGCATATCAAAGTAATCGAGTACGCCAACGTCGTCTGCATTGCTATAGTCCAGTACTGTAGAAACTTGCGGCGCAGCAGAAGCTACAGAGTTCATTTTAAAGGAGCACAAAACCATTTCGTGGTCAGATATACCATCTAAGACGTCGATATTGTACTCGTGGCTCAGAAAATGATCACTAACAAAAACCAAATCGAGCACTGTTTGTGTCGAGCCTTGAATACGAGTGTTTTCGGTAACAATTTGAGTTAGGTTATAATGAAAACATAGTTCAGAAAGAATATCAACACCATAAGATAATTTCTGGGGTTTAGAAAAGGACCAATCAACTAGAGGTAAATTAAAGTCACCTGCTATTATGATCTTACTGCTCATGTTAAGATTCTTATGCATATAATCATACATATTACGAAAGAACTCTGGGGCTGTGTTTGGGGGTCTGTAGGCCACAGCAATGAAGCAGCAACTGTTCTCATAGCTGATTTTACACCATAAGCACTCAATTCCCTGGGAATTGGGCAGCAATGTACATGAAATCCCATTTCGAGCAAGAATCGCAACTCCGCCGCCACGTGATCCCCTATCTTTGCGCAAGATTGTGTAGTTGGGAGACGTGATTTCGCTATCTTGTATACTGTCTGACAGCCATGTTTCAGTGATTACAACAATATCAGGTTCGGTATTCAGAATAGCTGTTTCAAGTTTATCAGTTTTATTCACGATACTCCTCGCGTTTAAGTTGAGTAGGCGAAATTCGTAATCATTATTGATACGGCTAGGCTTTAGTCATGGACTTGAAGCCTGTGCAACATCAGCTATCAAACTCTTGTCGTTTTTGACGTCGCCCCAAGTATACACTTTTCCGTTTATTTTAACTTTGTCGTACATCAAAGTGACCTTTTCACCGGCAAGCTTATTCGGTTTCGAGCTCTCGAGCAGTTTTTTTCTGATTCCCTGAGCTCGTTTCGAGTAGTCCTCGCTGATTGATAATGGTTCATTCTTTAACCTATTACAGTTACGTAGAATTTTCATCTTGTCTCTGAAGTCAAGTAGTTTGAGAATCACTGGACGAGTTTTACCTTCAGTTGGTTTTTCCAGGCGATGTATGCGTTCAATTCCCTTGGTTTTTACGGACAGTTTGTCCTCAAGGACCTCCTTTGTTACTCGCTCTTCGAGTTTGCTGCTGTCTTCGTTTGGCAGCTCAGAAAGACCGAAAATAATTAGATTATTTCTTCTACTGCGATTTTCTAAGTCATCAATCTTATACACGAGTGATGCAACAGTAGATTCGAGTTGTTTTGTCCTGTCTTGGTTTTGGTTCACAGCTGACCTCAGACCTTCAAAGCTGTTAATTTGCAACTCTATGGTCTTTAGTCTGGATTTTGTTTCCGCTTGGCTCAATTTGATTTCCCTGACGTCAGCGGAGATAATATCTAGTTTTTGCAATATTGTTTCTAGAGTAGGCCCGGGATTTACTTCTACATCACCACACAACAAAAGTAGGTTTTTCGGCAACATTCCAAATTCACACAGCACACTCAAACAGCTCCGTGGGCACGGTAGCAAGAAGAGACAAATATTGTTACTGCGGAGGCAACAAGGATATTGTTTCCCTACCTGTGCAATGAACACGAAGTGGTTTAGAAGCGTCATCTTGATGATGCCACCGTGCCCACGAAGAAGTGCAGGTTCCGGCCAGTCTTTTATAGTGCCGAGCGGCGCTAGAGTAGCTGCTGTCACTGTCGATATGGGTCGTGGAAAATCCAAATGTCCGTTGAAGTTCCACAGGAAAAAGTTGTCCAGATCCGTCACACTTCGCTCCGCGTTATCGGCTGGAACGGCGAAGCCGCCGCGATGATCAGCCGCTTGATAGTGCTCGGAGACGCCCATATCCTGGTGCAGCGGCAGAAGCAGCATCTGTGCAATGAACACGAAGTGGTTTAGAAGCGTCATCTTGACGATGCCACCGTGCCCACGAAGAAGTGCAGGTTCCGGCCAGTCTTTTATAGTGCCGAGCGGCGCTAGAGTAGCTGCTGTCACTGTCGATATGGGTCGTGGAAAATCCAAATGTCCGTTGAAGTTCCACAGGAAAAAGTTGTCCAGATCCGTCACACTTCGCTCCGCGTTATCGGCTGGAACGGCGAAGCCGCCGCGATGATCAGCCGCTTGATAGTGCTCGGAGACGCCCATATCCTGGTGCAGCGGCAGAAGCAGCATCTGTGCAATGAACACGAAGTGGTTTAGAAGCGTCATCTTGACGATGCCACCGTTCCCACCGTGCCCACATATCCACACAAACGGCTCATAAAATACATGTTATTGCTTCTCTGCGTAGCAGCGCTCAGGACGAAGCGAATCAAGGCAGTTTCTTCACTTTTAAATACTGTAAACGACTTTATTTTCGTGAGGACCTAATTCTCGCAAAGTTCGCGAATCGCCTACAATTCCGAAAAATAGATCCCGTGAACAATTCCGGCAAAATGTAAAAACATTAAAATCTATATTGCGATCCCAGCGCGTCGCGAAAATTAGAATTTGCGAATTATTCCACAACTCCAACTTTGGCCTAAATCGCGAAATATTGAGCCCGCGAAAAATAAATATTTTACAGTAGTTGTTCTACCTTTCCTTTTTGGTCGTTGACTTTTTAATATGGTAGTTAATGTCACTATATCAAAGTCACTATTCACATCACGTACAATGGTGAGTATACACGTTCAGTGAACTAACATTGTGCTAACAAAACCACGCCAAACGTATCTGTTCACAGCACCTGCTGAAGCTTTCCAGCATCAGCAAATGTTGTGGTTGTAGTTCCCGAACCCCGTTTGTAATTGGTGTGTAAGGGACTGATCAGGTATGTTCTTGATAGAAAAAAGGAAACAATAACAAAAACTGGGCTGATTTATCAGTGCGATGCTGCGCACTGATAGATCATTTGATTTATCAGTGCACAACATTTGATTAGTTGACAAACTAATCAAATGTTGTATTTAGGCGTTTCAGTGTACTCCATATCTGCTTGAAGTGAACTTCTAAAATAGGAGCTTTTCAATATTTTGGTAGTTTAAGTCAAACTACCAAAGTATTGCAGTCAAAAGGAACTTAGAGTATAACACAACAGTATTTACGATTTTCAGGTATTTTAAGAGTATTCTGCACGTATTTTTGATTGCTCCATTTTTTTAGGGTTAGAGTATATTTTGCATGAATTAAATAAATATCTCAAGAAATATATGTGAAAGGTATTTTGTGCCTATTAATTTAGTATTTACATATTTCAAAACGCGTGAAGGGAACTTCAAATGTGGTTGAAGTAAAGGTATTTCAAAATGAGTTTTAGAAGTATATTTCAGTACTAAGTTTAAAAAAAAGAAGTTTATATTTTCGGTCTATTTTTCGTGTACTTACAATTATGAACTGTATTTCGAATAAGCTCAAATTAGAATGTGGTATATTTCAAACGTATTAGTTTTCGCTAAGGGAAGCCAGAATTGTTATCATCACTCGATAATCAACACTAGCTTTGAGGGCCTTCTCAACGTTGGAATCCCCATCCCCCACAACTCTTCTGTCTTCTAGGCCATGCATCTCACGTCTTTTCAGGAATCCTTTGGCAATGATATCAGACTCCTTTGCAGTTGAAGGCCCGTCCCAGTTTTTGAACCAGACGTGATGGTGTGAAGTATCGTTCTTGCTCATGGAGAAATTTCAAGTTCTGCAAAACATGTTACGAAAATAGTAGTATAGGATTTCTTTTTCCTGAGCCAATGATAACAGCAACACCTGAGCTTGACGTGTATCGGTAGCCATAACTGCGGTGGGCCCATCCAGCATCGATGACGACCGCTATGTACGGCAATCCACCCTCAGCGAAGTCTCCGGCTTCGCATACCCATTCTGTGCTCTTCTTTCCCAGCCGCGACCATTTCAGAGAGCAAAATGTCTTCCCTCTTCAACCCCACGGTCTCTTTATATTTACTGAATGTCGTTGGCGACATGCAAGAAATGTTCAGGAGAGAGAATATTTTTTCTGTTGAGCTGAACCCATTTCCTGTTGAGAACGTGCCCATTGCAGCTGCATCATTGATGTTGGCTTGCTTCGAGTGCTCAGTTGAAATGATCCGTTCTTTATTACAATGCGTTTATACAGACGTAAACGAAGAGCAGAAGTCCTGCCTTCGCTCACGTTCACAAACCGAAATGTGCCACGCGTGTCCTTAGGGCAATCACAGCGTTCAAGTTTATGGATTTCGGTAATGAAATTCCCAACCAAAACTATTCTTCTACTCTTGACTTTAAGTTACTCTAGTGGAAGAGGGCAAACCTGAACTGTGTATGGTAGCTTATCATTTGAGATACAGGTGCAGCTTCCATCGCTTGGATTGGAGGCGATGATGCTGGGCAGATTGTGTGCACTCAAGGTTGGTGAGCTTGCTGATGGCGTTGACTCTGGTACAGAACAGGTCGTCCGATTTGACACGGAGCTGTGAAATGGAAGTGAAACATAAAAAGAGTAAGTTAAGATTAATTTTAGCATCGCAACATTGAGCAAATAAAAAGAAATTTGTATTCCCTCATCATTCGGGCTCGCACGCTATCTCACGTCCGGTTTATCTGTGAATAAAAAAAAAATATCATGCCATATTGAATAAAGTAAGCCTGTGGATAAACTTTTTTTTTGTCTCATCAAGAGCCACATTTGTTTCCATTTTTTTACATAGACGAGCTTGAAAGAAAACAAAAGCAAATTAGACACCACATGACAACCGTGAGGTCGGGCTGCCCATTTAGTGCGGCATGATTAGCGCTGTACATGGAATTTTGCCGGTACACTGTAAGCATGGCCTGTGGTATATAACACGTATAACACAGTAGTGTTACAAGACCATAGGCCGGCACGATGCTCATCGAGATCGAAAGGGGCACGTGCAGAGATCGAGTTGGAGATCCCTGAGTTCCGCAGTGCGAATATTCTCCTTACGGTCTTTCAGGTATACCGCGCCCAAAAATACTCCGGCAGCGGCATTCTTTGCCAATATATTATCCAAAAGATTGAGCACGCACAATTTAAGCAATTTAAAATTAACTATCTGAAATATAGTGACGATTGTGCGAATTAAAACGCGATCTTACTATCATTATGCTGTCGGTGAATAAGAATACTTTTTTCTAAAGGTTGTAAACCTCTCAATGGTCGGAAACCATTGAATTTTCGGATGGCCGTTCTGGTAAACAACTGTTGGAATGAGCGGCTTGCAACAAACTCTACACTACAGCACTGCATGGGCCAGAATTCACAGGCACGGCCCACCCGGCCCCGTGGGTGCACGGGCTGAGCCCGGCTCGTTCCCCACAAAATATTTAAAATGTAAGCGCGAGTACGGCCTGTACCGGCAGTTTTGTAGACGTGATCCCGATTAAGTTTTCCTCCCCAACCTGACAGTGGTGATATAAAAGAGGACCGAGTCGTGGTTTTAATATTTTAAGACGTTTGCACGCCAGACTCGGATGGGTTGGCTTGGCAGGCTCCAGCTTGGCAGGCCCCAGCTTGGCAGGCCCCGGCTTGGCAGGTCCCGGCTTGGCAGGCCCCGGCTTGGCAGGTCCCGGCTTGGCAGGCCCCGGCTTGGTAGGCCCCGGCTTGGCGGGTCGGCTTGGCTCGAAATAATTTTGTAACAATGCCGAGCCCGGCCCGGGCCCGAGGGAAACATGTGCTTCGACACCCGGGCCCGGCCCGCGGGCCGGGCAGGGCTCGAGTTTTCAGACTGGCACGGGCCCGTGCAGTGCTCTACTCTATATTCTCCAGCCATTAGTTCTCTCAATAATTTATTAAATTGCCTTGGTTAAAGGAAACCGCATATACTTCCCAACATTTTAGGACTTCGTGGTTTCCTTATATCACCAAAATGAAACGTCTTACCTCCTGAGATCTGCAGAGGTTCCTTTCGCTGCTAAAGGGGCAAGCTTCTGGGTAGAGGCTTTTTTGCTTCCAACTTGATTCTCCTGGGAAACTTTAATCTACCCTGTATTGATTGGGATACACTTAGAGTGTCTAACCAGGATCGTGCGAATGAAGAAGCCCTGATTGATCTAGCCATTTCCCATAATCTAGTACACATAGTAAACCGACCTACTAGGGGTGAGTCACTTCTGGATCTGGTTATATTAAATGACCAGCTGCTTAGTAAGAGATACAGCTTCAGTGTGTGCGAAGGTATTTCTGATCATAATATAGTGCTGGTGTCAATGTTTATGGACCAAAGATTGAGAACTTCACCCGTTCTGTTAGCAGTCCAGGATTTTAATAATGCTGACGATGTTGCTATTCTTTATTTTTAGAGCTGTCTTTCGATATTTACGGACAACTGCCTATGCAAATGGAATTCTAAAATCGAAGCGATGTGCTACTGCTTTAAAATTACAGTGAGCAAATATATATTGAAATATGTGCCTTATTGAAAAACAAGACTACTATTTCAGATCCTTGGATTAACAGAGATATTCTACATTTGAAACGTAGAATTGTCTGAGTGAGAAATGATTCTAAACACAGCAGAAAAGAATCATGTCGTCCGCTTCTTTCTGAACTAAACCCACAGCTTAAACTCAAAATATTCGAATCAAAGCAAAAATATTTTAATAATTCGCTTTGTTCTTTTACGAAAAGTGCACCACAAATGTTTTAACGTCATATTTCACCCAATGAAAAATCAACTATTGAAAGTACTATAACCGCATGTGAGTTCGTTACTTTTTTAAATAGGTCTTCTCTAATGATGACGGCGTAGTCCCAAGCCTACAGGTTACGGACGTGGATAGAATTAGCGACATTTACATAGGTCAGGAGGGCATTTTTTAATTTACTCTTAGATACATTAGGCACTAAGAAAAGTGCTTCAAGATAATTATAGGTTATCTTCGGTAGTTCTCTTGAGCACGCAATCTTACAAGATGACTGGAGAACAGCAGAAATAGTTCCGATACATAAGGACGGTGATTGGAATACAGCTTCATGTTTCAGGTCTAATTTTTTAACTAATACAGCATGTAAATTGTTAGAGCACATTACCTTTAGCCATATTTTGTATCACGTAGACAAACATAATCTCACATATGGAAAGGAGTACGGTTTTAGGAAGTCACTAAGTCACTATCCACCACAACCCAACTCATTGAAATTACACATGACTTAGCTAAACCAATTAACGAAAGGGCACAGACTGACGTAATGTACTTAGACTTTTCTAAGACATTTGACA